CCGTATATTAAAGATACTGATATAGCATGGATGTCATCAGTCACTCGATACTCGACGATTACACAATGAAGATTGTTGTTGTATAACTATTCTCGATATATTACTAACGTTACCTCTATTAAGAAACCTAAGATCACCTATAGCTTTTCCAACTAAATTTCCCCCTTTGTTCCCGAAGTTAAAGCACGATTAATCTTGCAGCGAAATAATCGTGGATAATTTCTTACGAATAATTGCAATAAAAAAGAAAAACGCACAACTCTCTGAATTCCAAGTATCGAGTAAACGCGATAATCAATGGTTCTGTTACAACCGTCGCCTATCCATTCCCCCCTCCCCCAGCTCCTTCAGTCCCTGACATTTCAAACTGACGTTTCTTTCACTCTCTTTCCCTCCGAGACGCCTAAACCAGGTCGTGCACCGATACAACTCTTCTCCCGGTTTCCTGTTGTCTAACGCAATACAAACCGTACGCGTAATACGAAGCTGGGGACCACGCCTGCCGGAAACAGGCAGAGAAATGAACGAAAAACGGAAAACACGGTGAATGATTCCTCGTCCACAACGCTCGGCTTTGCACAATTTCTAAACCCATCGAAGCAACCATTTTTCTTTTCGAAGATTCGAAGGATAGATGTAATTGGCTATAATATCCACCACGAGATATGCGCGAGTGCTATTCGAGACCTCGTCAGTCAATTATGGTAGGCGTGCGTCCATATTGACGGAGTGGAAAATTCACGAAACTCACCGATATGGAATTTCGTTTTCTCGGTCGGTAACAGTGGTTCTCATTCCCCCCTTTTTTTTTCAATTTCAACAAGTTTAAACGATCGAGCTATACAACAATTGATAGAAAAGAAAAGAAAAGAAATTATTCTTATTATGAATGGAGAATATATGAATATTGAGTAAAGTTAAGTTTTCTTCTAAAAAAAAAAAAAAAAAAGAAACGAAAGGAAATTACGTACGATGGCGTGACTCGAAATCGGTCGAAAGGCAGGATTAAAACTCGGGCGCGTTTCCTGTCTGTTGCAGCAGCAACAACGCCGGTTAATGCGTGATGTATATCGTGAAAAAAGGGGAGGGAAGGGGAAGGAGAAGGTGCTAATGCGGGGAATTGTGCAATTCATTGTTCGAACGCGGCTCCAAACCAGAGAGATGGGAATCTAATTTCTGCTTAACCGCAGAGACGAGCGTCGTTTAATCCGTTCGCAATTGAGTCTAATTGTAAAGTGGCGTACGTCCTCGCTAGAGACGCGGAAGGTCTTTCCTTTTTTTTTTTTTTTCTTTTCCAACGAGCGCTTTCAATGCCGACACTTCTCTGAAGCAATCTGATCTGAAAGTATGAAACTTCCTCTTTCGAAAAAAGAAAGAAAGAAGAAGAAAAAAAAGAACGAGTGATTTTGAAGAAAAAAACTATTCACAGTTTTTCGTGATGATTAATATGGTACGCAAGAAGAAGAGGAGGCGCGAATGATGTTGCATAATTGTTGGAAATTTTACGAGTATGCTAACGCGTGTTGATCTTGCGAATTAAAGAATGGACGACGAATGGTCCAAGTACGAATAGCCAAACGACGGTTATAACTATGCTTAATTGTCCTGTTAATTGTGGGCTTTAGTTACACGTAAGTGGTTACGTGCTTGCCACCATCGGTCCACGTTGTTTTCAATAGGCGCGGGACACGTGGCATTCTGCAATTTTTCTGCAAACTCTTCGCGGAGAAATCGAAAGAATCGAAAGGAGACATCGGACGGTGAACGTGCATCTCATCACGGGTGACAAAACAAATATTTTTAGCGACAGCGACAGGTTCGAGCCGAGGTCTCGATTCAACAACAACGGATGGAAAGGATGATGGAAATTAAGAAATCCATTTCGGGCGAAAGATGGACGGCGTGAATGGGCGGCTATAAATCCTGCTTTCGGTGTGGGCGTGAGTTTCTTTTTTCTTTTTACAAATCCGTGTACCTGCAGCCCTGTAAAGACACGGCCCTATAAACCGGTCCTAAGAAAACGCGACAGAGGAATGCGGAGGAAAAGCTTCCGATTTCGAAGAACCGAGTTAGGAAAAAATCGATTGATTCAAGGATCCGGAAGGATCGATTCGTCGCGAAACTTTTCGTTCAATGTTTCAATGTTTCCACGAGAAACATTGAGTTTATCTTTTCGAGAAATAAAAAAAAAAAAAAAAAAATAACGGGAAAAGAATCGATAGTTGATTCAAAAACGTTACTTCGTCATAAACTTTCAATGAACTCGAGCCTCTTTGTGAAAGACCTCTTTCAATTTCTATTCCATGGCCAGTCCAATGGCGCATCGGTAAGGAAGCGAAGAATAATGTGTTGGTAGTTTATTCGTCTGGCTAAGAAATAGGAGAAAAACTCTGAACTTTGTATTCCCTTGACAAAAGAATTCGACGAAGCAACAGCCTAGCTCGAGATATCAGGATAACAAGGCGCCCAGCCACAACCCATCAAAAGAAAACCAATATCGAAGAAGGATAGATATTTTTTTTTTTTTTTCGTTTCGAACGGCGTTGAATAATCAAACTATTATGGGATTCAAAGCGGTGGCTATCGGGGTGCATCTATTTTCGGAGATTTCTTCGATGCATTTTCGTTTCTCGATCGACCGAGTTCAAAGAGCATTCCGCAAGAAGGCTGGTGGATCGTTCATTTAATTATACGGATCAAAGAAGCTTTTATCTCTCGTTTCGAAATAATCAAGTACGCCATTTATTTGAAGAAAAGGAAAATCGAATGTCCGTGATGTAAGAGGCGAATTGGGATCGTTCATTGAAAACTAACATCAAGTTCGATTTTTTCATTAGAAAGGTATTACGAAAGTCGAAGAAAGAATGCACGCGTTGTATTACGCTCCGCCGAAGAACGTTACCGATAATGATCGTTATTGTGCATGAGAATTTCTCACTTATTCCAATGCGCTTCGCAATAACCGCCAATAACGCAACAACAATGTTGGATGCATAACAAGCTGGCGTTGCATGTACAAGGGAAATCATAAACATTGTTAGTCTGATGAAACAATTAAAATTTACTCGAGAAACTAATTGTATGAGTTATAAATTTTCGTTAACTTGAATACCAAAGAGAATGATAGAATGACAATAAAATGGCTGCGATATTGAACGAGAATCTCAAGTGTATCTCTTTCTTGATTGATTTAACGATTTTTTTTTCCAATTGTAATGGAATTATGATAAATATAGAAAAAATCAATATTAATATGTATTTTTTTAAATGTGCAACGAAAAGAAAGATAAGCAACGTGTCGTTTCGTTGGTTATATATTATGTAGTTCGAAAATCCACAAGTGGGTGAGAAAGCGCCATATATATCGTACATATAGCTACGACTCAGTTTGAATTTATTTTTTGCTCGAAAAGAAATCTAACTAAGAAATTAATAATTAATAGCTATCTAAACTAACTCTATTTGATAAAAAAATTTATTTATTTCGTATTTCGATCAGATGTTTTTGAAAGATCGTTCTTTCACGAGATAATTTAAAAATAAATAAATATATATTTTATTTTTATAGAATTGTACTCGTTATCATACGTTAGATTTCACGATGAAAAAAAAGTGACATTTGACGTTAAAATTTAATTAACGTTAATCAATAAACGTTTTCGTAGCCAACAAGTGGTAATACATCATCACGTGGAATTCGCATCATAATATAACTTTCAATATATACAATACTGGGTACTTACTTTGGAAATAAAGCTCGAAATGCTGCTACGATTGTTTTCAGAACCTTCCAGTTCGTCGAGTTCGCCTCAGTTCCAAAAGTAAAACAAGGCCGGTCGCACAAAGTCGCAAAGCGCACTTTTCAGTAAAACGGTTAGAAGGATAAAACACAACATTCAATACTTCACAGATTCATCACAAACGGAAAAAACACCCCCACGAATATTATTTGTCGCGATTTGTAAAGCCTTTGATATTACACGGTACAATTTTGTTCCACGACGCAGAAAAACAATATGCACGACGAGACCGAAACAAACAAAACTAACGCACGCTCGACGGTTAGCGAGCGAATGAGACTCTGTTTTCCATCAGTCCCACCAACCACCAATCGGGCCAATAACCTGGCAGTATATGCGAGAATGTTTAACGACTTTCCTGTGTCGAGTCGATATAACAGCGTACTTTATCGACTAACGATACTATAGCGTAAGATATGCAAAATCGTCTTTGTTTTTATCAATAAATATCATCATTGACAACTTTCAACTCATGTTTCGAATAAGTGTCGCTATTGAATCATAAATGATTGTTAACTGTTAATATTATCGATAAACATTCGGCATAACTGCAAATGAAAATGATTGGTAAAAACAAGTAGCAAACAGTTCCTTCGTTTTACAATCTTCAATTTTATACTTTTTTTCAACACATTTGCAGATTGTTGGATGATTTTTTGTGCATTATTTGTTTTGACATTGCATTGCATTATAGCATCAAACAAAATCAAAAAATATTTATAATTGTAGCATTCGACGCTTATTTATAGAAAAACATTTTAATTTAATCGTAAATAAATATAATAATTTTCGTTGTATTACAATTAAATTCTGTTAACCATTACAGTTATTTAGATATTATACGGTTAGACACTATTATTTTTTTTTTTTTTATAAAGAAAAATAAAAATATATTACCAATACATTTTCCTTTTTGATGATACTAATCATGCAGTCAGGTATTAATATAAATAACATACATACATTAATATAATTTTAAAATTAAATCTTCGAATTTAAAAGAAAAATATTATTTGTTGTTTTAAAATCTTTTGTACTTTTTCAAAGATAATTATACAAAAAATTACGTTCTAAGTATTATTCATTTTTTTTGTTCACCAAAAATCTTAAAGTCCCGATAAACGTTAGTCATACAAGATCAAACAACTGTTTCATAATATAAAAACTGTTTCATTGGTATAAAAATTACAATACGATGATTATAAAAGTAAAACATATATGTATTTTTTTTATAATAAAATATACTTTTACGTATTATTTTTAATACATATATGTATACACATGTATAATTGTTACATATATAGTCTATGCTTCAATAGCTGTTAAAAAATATGTCTTTTTTGCATTATAATTTTATGGCCAGGATTTCTACTATCACGCATTATAAATTTGTGCCAGCAGGTACAATGAGTACACTGTTAATAATTGTAAAAATTAAACTTAAAAATAATCTATTTAAAAAACGTTGAAAAAGAATATAAATTTTCAGCATATTATTGCTTAAAAAATAGTTGCAAAACAACTTCTATACATTCATCATATTTGTAATCATAAATATGATATTTCATGCAATAACAAAAAACTTATCATTCTAGCAAGAAAAAACAACAGGCACTTTGAAAATATATTACATATTATTTGTTTAATACTTAAAATTAGGATATCTAAAATTTTTAGCAATTTCGCATATTCGTAATTCGTTGCATAGCCTAAAAAATGCCTTTCTTCAGAAAAATAATGTGTAAAAATAGTTTAGCCCTAATGTAATAATACTTTTTTTTCAAATTAAAAAATTCTTTAACAAATTCTAATATAAATCTCGCGACAAACTTCTCTTTCTTTTTTATCTCTTCATTGTTTTTTCTTAACTTTAACATTTTTGGTCCATTGAATATTGCTCTTTTCGGTTTCCAACTATTATATATCATCAATAATGAAGATTTCAATTAATCTTCGATTCAATAACAAACATAAAAATTTAAAAAGCACTTGAAAAGTCACTATTACTGCGGGAATAGGAATCGCAGCTTTGTAATGTATCGAAAAGTGCTACTAAATAATAACAATATATATTATATACAATTTAAAAAATGTTGCGTTTCTCTTTTTTTTTTCTTTTCTAAAAGATTTAAAAAATAAAGTTCTAAAAAGTTCTATGTCAATTCATCGGTACACTGCTTCCTCTCTTCTTCGACTCGTTGACGAGTACGATTAAAAGCTTCGGTTTTCAAGAAATCCACTGTTTTATATACTGTTGTATTTGGAGGAGATTGAGTTGGCGGTAAACTTGAAGAAGTAAAGTTTTCCGTTGCTTCTAAATCGAGATCTAAATATTGCAAAACAACAAGACTTCGATTTGAAGCAGGAATAAACGTGTTTTGCTCTTGATAGTAGTATATCTGAAGAATAAATTATATCAAAATATAATTACATATACATAAATACACACACATATAAATTAATATTAAGTAAATATAATAAAATAGATTTTTATATACCTCTTCTTTATCATCGAAAGCATTATTATCTTCATCCGATGTCGATAAATGTCGATTTGGATGCACGTGAATTGGAGGTGTAGGACTAGGAGCCGCTCTAATTCTTCCTCTTCCAGGTGGTGAAGCTAATTGCAAAGGTCCTATAATATAAATGATTTTATATTCTTTTATTTGAGCGTAATAGTTGCAGTATGAAAAAAAGATGCAAATATTTCTACCTTCTACAGGAGATTTATTCAATGGAGGTTTAAGCTTTCTATTGATACTTGGTGGTTCGGCAGGAGAATGTTCGGCAGAACTCATTTCCAAAACTGATGCTATCGGCCCTGGAGAAGGTTCATTACTAATAACCGATGTAGAATCGCTAGTTTTTCTTCCTGGCTTTAATTCCCGATAAACGACTGGTGGTGGTGGTACTATTGTTGCCGGTATGGAAGTTGAATTATCTCGAACAAGTGGACTTGGTAAATTTGAATACGTAGCAGTTGTTGAACTTTCAGAACGTGGACTTGATGGTTCCTCTTCTTGAAAGTCATAACGGAATACGCGCGCATCTTCAATATTGCTTGGAGCAGCATTAGAATAAAAATGTTTATCTATTGTGTTTGGCTCGGGTGCTCCTGGTTGATGAGATCTTGGAAAATCGTACGATTCGTCCGTTACAATTGCAGTTGCAGGTGTTGATGGTGCAGGAGTCGCTGGAGTTGTGGGTTTCGAGCTCTCTGTAGCACCATCTAAATTTAAATAGTTGTGACCAGGATTTTCAGGTAACATATGAGGAGGTTTTGGTGGTCTAGGAGGTGCTGGTAACTTTTCTACAGAAAGTGGTAGAGTAGAATCTACAATTCTCAATTTTCCAAATCGTTTTCGAACACTCCAAGAACCAATTTCGGCATCACTCGATCCAGATTGTTTGGATTCACCTATTTATAAAAAAAATTATAAAAATTTATAAAAAAAATTAATGTTATTCATTTGATAAATTCATTTAAAATATGCATATCTGTTATATTTACCTGTAGAAGGAAAAGTCTCCCAGTTCACGCTAGGCACTGGAGCTGTCCATTCATCATCAGTAAAGACACTTTCCGCATCAGTTGTTGTAGGAGATCTAGGAGGAGAAGGTACTAATCGTCTTGGGGCATCATAATGTTCAGGTCCTTGTCCCAAAGCTGAATTGAGAGAACTAGTATCGTTTAATGTTCGTCGACCAGAAATACATTCACTAATAGGAATATAAGGACCAGAGATAGTGCTTGTGGGTGAAATTGGTGGAGATTCTTGCGTTTCAAACTGGAACACTATAAAAAAAATTATAATATGGTATAAAATTTTGTTTATACTGAATTTCTAATATTTTGTTTATTTATTTTTTTTTTATGATTAATTCATTAAATAAATAAATAAATGTTATATTATTATTATAATATATACTTTGACATTGCTGTTCCTCATCTTGTGTGTATGCCTTTAAACCACAAACTTGACATACAGCATCTACCCACTTGTTCATATCAGCTTCACTTTCTGCCACTAAATAATATGTTCTTTTTGGTGTTTTAACATTGAACATATATTGATATTTTTGCTTTCGATTTTCAAATCTCAAGCCTGCATCTACCTATTTGAAAATATAAATAAGTAACTTCTAAGATATAAATAAAATTATAAAATCTATTAAATCTATTAATATTTTATAATAAACAACTACCTGTTCGCATTGATCAAGATCAATACGGCCTTTTAATTTTCTACATTGTCTGTCCGTATAATATTCTAAAAAATATTGCCCAGGTAATTCTCCACTGTGTCGAAGAGCAAACCATCTTTTCCTCCATCGCTGAAAATATAAACAATGTCATATAAATTATTTGATTTATTTAAAGAAGATTGATATATTATTATTATTATCGTATTATTATTATTATATTTAAATCGCCATTTTATATATTTAACCATTATATATATATCATATAAAATTGTTTGCGTTAAATATAATTGAAAAACTATTTACAACGTTAGCATTCTCGGATAAAAATATCACAACATTCCACACTTATGAAACATTTTTCAACGTACGAGGTTAGACGCTACGAGAGTTTGATGAACGAGTACAAACATAACGATTTGACAAGTATTTGAATATAAATAAACAATAAAAAAATTTATAAGAAAAATAAAATCTCGAATTTGTCATTATTTTAAATAAAAATACTAACCGCTCGCCAAAGTTTGGTAGGTGGCGATTTAATGAGCCACCCTTCATGAACAATCTCTTGACTGGTTTTGAGTACCTCCATTCCTATCCGGCGTTGGTTATAAACTTTTAATAATTGTGCATTGTTACAGAGTGCGTGGAACCACCGACAACAAGGATGGCACGCTCGTCGTTCATTTATCTATTTTCGGACGGCACAGCAGCGATCTCACAGATATACCGACCATCTAGCGATCTCTTTTCGATGATGCACGACTAACACATCAATAGCATTCCACTACTAACGTACATCATCAACGATAAACACCCTCTGAGGAGTTATAGAAGAATTAAAGAGGAACACCGAAGCGAGACGATGATACACAGAGAAGTCTAACTATCGTCGTCGTGCCTCCATTACCACCACCATCTTGGCCACGCATGCCAAACCGTATCAAACATCATCGATGACACACGCTTTTCTCTATGCATATATCTCTTATGTAAAATCATATGCTTCGATCTATATATCGAATTTTGAATCATTCTAAAAATCAAATTGTTGCTCGTATTATGAAAATTTGTTTGGATTCATTTGATTAACAGATCTATATGACGCATCATCGTCTCGTGACCTGAATAAATGGCGCAGCATTGCGTTCGAGTTGAAAGTTGTCAGTCTAATTCAACAAAGAGAACAAAGGAATTCGCGAAGAAGTTTTAAAATCAGTTATCAAATACCATTTCGTCTCTTAACACGCACATTTTTATGCGTAAATAAATGATATATCTGCGAATATACGAATAATATTAATGTAAAATATGTATATGACAAAAAAAAAAAAAACAAAGATTTTCTTATCTTGTTTCAAACTATTCTAAATGCTAATGCTTTCTCGCAAACTATTATTCGCGGTGCATAATCAGGTTACAGTGAAATCATTCTGAAGTCTAGAAATTTCGATCGATTCGCGGCTTCGAATTACGAACTATCGCGCTAAACATCAATGTCTATATTAACAAAACATATTTATATATTGTTAACATAAATTGTTACAAGCGTATGCAATTGGAACGTGCGATAAAATAAATTTTTATTTTGTCGTATTTAATTGTACACCGACATCGATTCGGCACTCGAGCCTCGACAGTTCTAAGCAATTACCGTGGTTAATAGATATAGATAAGTGAAGAATGGACAAAGAGAGGGATATCGCTCAGCTAATTTGCAATTCAATGCTTAAACGCGGTAGAGGCCGATCGATATTTAAACCTAGCCTTCGTTTCTAATTAACAATATTCCTTAAGAGGGATTGCGCTCTGATCAAGACAATCCGAAGTCGAATAATCCATAAATCGTTTATTAAATATTTTTTTTTTTTTTTTCATACAATTCCGTCGCGATGGTAAAATCGGTGTCGCAAACCAGCTGTCGAAACGAAACATATATATATATATATTATATATATATATATAAGGATCGTATAAAGTTAAAAATGAAGTAGCGTAAATCAGAGTTTGTTCTACATAAATATAACAAATACGTTTACATGGAATGCTTCACTATCAAAGTCGCGTCAATACAGTACAAAAGGAGTCGCGAGTACATTTTACAGACAAGTACATTTATTTGACATGTAAGTACGGTATAAAACGGAGACTCGTGTACAGGTGGAGTTTGTTATTTAGAGTTTCGTTTCATTAAATCTATTCGACTGGACGAATATTGCTCCGGTTAGCGTACTCGAAATGTTTCACATCGCGCCGATCGTCACAGACGATACGGGTGCGAGTTTAAGAAGCATACGTCTGTATTTTTTAACACCTAGTTAGAAAACTTCTCACAGCTCGCTATTCGTTATAATACTCTATATACCTCTATACATTGAGCTTTCTTCATTCGACGGAGACACGATCTCTCCATAATAATATTCTGTAATAATATTGTTTACACGCGTACCGTGTGTCTGTATATGTGTGTACAATATGTATATAGAATGTATGTGTGCATTAATATAAATATATTGTATATAAACATAACACGTATATGTAGATCCGAATGGGGGACTCTGAACTTCCTTCTTTTGTTATCCGTCCAACGATATCGTTCAACAAGGATTCGTCGCTGTGAAAAAGACAGATAAGGCGGAAGAATCCGGCGGGCAACAATCGCTTCGGACTTCGGTCAACGAAAGAAACGAAAAATTTCCTCGAGAAATTACTTTGTTGAAAATTTCTTTGCTCGATCGATCACCCTTCCTCGATCATCTTTATCGACGAATATCGACGAATCCTCGTGAACAAAATATTTGCAAAAAGTATACATCAATAGATTCGTGTAGACGAAGGGCAACGAAACGAATGACATGACATCATATAAATAAAAATGAAAGTGAATCGCGACAGAATTTCCAACTCGAAATAAGAATGTGAGAAATGACCGCGAGAAAGGTATCGAGATCATACAGGTACAATTTCCAGTATTCAAATAAGTATACGTAAACTTTATTTCGTCAGATTTATCATATTGTGTTAATGGTACGTATGTATAAATATATACACATATATGTATAACTCTTACGTGCCAGTTTCGTTTACGTTGTTACATTATGCGCTGTAATCAGATAAGTTGATTAGTCCTTACGTCTAAGGAAAGGAGATTCGACGAACGCAACAAGAATAAATAACAAAAGGATGAGAAACAGAAGGAAAGACACGCTGCGTTCGTTGCCATATTTTAGTCCCATTTTAGTCGAAATAACTGTAAACCTATGAGAATTCTCGAAAGCAAGATATATCTTCGACGGAAGCCAGATCAATCTGTACTTTGGTTCTCGCTTTCTTTTGTTTTTCCGCCATAGATGGAACTAAAATATATATATATATATATATGTATCCTTGTTTAATTGAGAATCCGTCAACAACTTGTCGACAGGTCGAGACAAGGGTACACATGCGTTTAAACGCTAGATCTTTGTTGATAGAATTTCACGTACAAGTATCGTACGAAATATAAATATATATATATATACATATATAAATATATATATATATATATATATATATATATGTATGTATATATATATATA